AAGTTCCTAACTTTCAGTTCTGTGCATTCTGTGTGTTGTAATTGTCTAAGAAAAATAATCCACCAATGACAACACACAGAACAGAACAGGAAGTCAGGAAATTTCAAGTGGAAGTTTCTGTTCTTTGGAATATTGCAACAGCCAATATAGGAATATTGCAAATTCCTTTGGAAATCCGGAGGAAAGTTTTTCAAATTTGCAAAGATAATGAGGAAATTTGCAATTAAATTAGGAACTCAAAACGGGAACACTTGACATAGTTTACCTGTAACAGACACAAATAAAGCCATGTCCACTGCAGTATATTTATTTAATCCATCATAAATAATTTTCTGCAAATGACACTCAACATTAAAACATTTTTGCACTGCAAAGCTAGGCAGACCTCATGACTGGTGGGTTTCGGTAAGCATATACAGGGCAGCAGATTGTTTTCTCTACCTCACATTATCAAAACCATGGATGCCAGTGACGACGTTTTTGTAATATACATGCTTACAAGAATTCACCAATTAAAATTATGTTGCACTATTATTACTTGATGAATTTCTAGCGCTTTCTACAAAAGATACCAGTTTTTTGTATGATGAAACCTTGTCAACTGCTATGCCAAGAGATGATATCTAAAAACAAAGAAAAATACATATAAATACAATAATTTTATCCTTCTTAAAGAAGTATGGGCACCCCCCCCCCCTCCGACTTCCATTCAAGAATTGTCAAAGATGTAGATGAGCTCACCATGTTAGTTATTGTTCAATACCTGTTTTCCAAATTCTTCTGTATCCAAGGCAAACTGCAAGCGAATTTTATCATCATCTGTCATTTTTCCTCCCTCAGCAGCCGTGGGATTCGCTGATGGATTGTCACTCTTTTTAATTCGTTTTAATCTCAATAAACTGTCCTCTGTTCTTTTTATCGATGTCAACACATCTGAGGTTACATTGTAAAACCTGCACGAAGAGAGAAGGAAAAATTTGTAGTACTCTGTAGAGGGCCCTGAAGGGGGTAAAATGGGAACTGGGATTGATCTATTTTTAGACTGGGAAAATGGGATTTGGGTTGCTGGGACTGGGATTTGGCCACTGGGAATGGGAAATGAAGTCCTCAAAAATGGGAATGGGATTGAGGTAATGCGAGTCAATTCCCAATTTTTCTACGTTTTAAGTATTTTAACTCAGCGGCAAGCTGTTACAATGTTTCTACCCGCCTAAGGCGCAAGCAATATGGCGAATATGTGATTGAATTCAAGAGCTTTCACCAAAATGGCAATATCTCAGAAACAGTTGCATAAAAAAATCTGATCTTTTCAACCAAACATTAGTGATATATGATTGACCAAATTTAGTTTAAATGACTTTGCATACCTACATATATCATTAGTTTTTTCAATGAGAATTTTTATTTGTAAAGCAGTGACACTGTTTTTCATGTCACTCATCACCTAAAGGGGCAATATCTCCATAAATTTATATAAAAACCAAAAAAAAAATCATTTACTAAATTAGTACATATCTATATTATAACCAATTTTCATCTTTTGGGATATGAATTAGAAAACGATAAAAAATTATAAAAAATACTCATTTGCTTTTTTTGGGCAAGATGTTTACAACATGAAATTTAGAACAGTAACTAAGTGTTCAAATTCAACAAAATGTGGAAGCCAAAACACAGTGCTTGTTCATCTTTGGAGTTTTAAATTACCTCAAATATATTTAAAAGGACATATGGTACTAGAATTTATTTATTTTCAATATAAACCAAGGATGGGAAGGTGAGAAAATAGGAATTTTCTGAGGTGTTTTTAACACAGACAATGACAGCCGACATTTTCAAAGGCAAATTGCGGTGACAAAACCAAAAGTTATTCACTTCTCTACTCAAAGCACTGAAAAACACCATAAAGAGAAAAACATTTTAAACATACATCAGGTAAGCCTTTTAGCTCAATTTTCTCATGTTTCTGTTTGGAAAGAAACGGTTTTTAGCCAAAATTATTTTGCGCGCCAATGTAGGCTGCTATAAAATGTCAGACACGCGTTCTCTTTTGAAGTCTGGCTCTGAAAAACAATCGCTTTTTTTAGTTTGAAATAAGCTTTCATAAGGACTAATTGTGTAGAAATGTTATCTGTATAAATGAAAAAGATAACCTAATAGTCAGGTATTCAACATAGCTATAAAAGGGTGAAATAAGGACTTTCATCTTTGGTTGTTTGTCAGACATGAGAAACCACATTAGTGCCATTTTGTCGCGCGTGCTATTTTATAAAATAAACACCTCAAAACCATAAACTTTTAGTTCAGAAAATAACAAAGTTTTCCATAGACGTTATTAAAAATGTTCTACTGAAGCGATTTCATGATAAATAAGTGAGCTATTGGCCCAAAAGAACTGCTAAACTATGTTTTTGTTAGGACTTCAATTTCATGGCTTCCCGCAAAGGAAGCCATTTCAGAGAGAAGTGGCATTTTGCAAGCAACGGTCGCGACCTATTTTTGATAACTTTTCCTTCTGATTCAACGTGTAGTTACTAGAAAATGAGGTTGCATCAACATTATTATCTGCTTTATCGATTTAAAGTTTTATGGGGATATAAAACCCAATAGAAAAAGCGTTTTAAAAGCTTTAGAACTCAAGTGCAGACTTTTTGAAAATTCGCACGCGGCCAGCAAGCGCACTAATTCAATACACTTATTTTAAACCACAATATGTCTGAAACGAGTTGTCGTTTTAAGACTAAATTGATGAAAATAGATATAACAGTGATTTTGGAGTATCCTACTTACTTAGTGTAATTTAATACTCGAAGTATTCTTGCCAAAAAGGGCACGTACGCACATAGTAATTTAATCTGGTGTCGTTTGAAACATACTTTAGCTAAAATAACAACTTGAACAAGAAGACCAACAATGGGGTTACGAAAACAGTCGAAATTGTGCCCAAATTTGCATAAACAGTTCGTCTAAAAAGATAACTTTAAACTAGATTCAACCAACTTTAATGCGGTCGAATTTTGTGAGTATTTGATCGCATATTTCTACTCAAAAATACCCTTAAAAATATCGTATCTGCTCACTTGAGTTCCGTGTTCATCTTTCTTGTGATTTCCGACTTCTATTTTTAATAAAGTTTGGAGAAATCCTCGTCTTTTTGGCTGAAAATCTCGCGGATGGTTCACAGAAGAACTTGGCCCCAAAACGTCAATACATTCGCTTTCCTTTCATGCCAAATTTTCGTTGTAAATGATTCAAAAACCTCTTCTTTCTTCGCTTTTAAAACTTGCTGTAAAACCATTCTTTGCAACAGTTTCGCCATTGTTCATTATTTTTGAAAAACTAAGGTTTTAAACTTGAAAAACTTTGCGAGTTTTTGGCCGATTTTCTTGCATGATACACCGTTGAAAAGCTCGAATTTCACGTTCTATTTTCGTATCCGTTGCTAGGCAACCGGATAAACACGTGCTCAAATATCATGCCCGCAAGTTAAGGAGTCATGTTAGGGCGCATTCGGGCGCATTGCCGCTTACCCCCTTGCCAATCTCAGGGCGCATTCGGGCGCATTGCCGCTTAATGAGTTAAAATACAATTTTGGTCCGTTTTTGGTGTCTTTGGTCATGATTTTTGTTGTTAACTATATTATTCACAGCACTTTCTGCGAACAGGCATACTCTGGCGCCCGGAATTCTGGGTTTTATGATTATGCGTGTCTCAGAATGCTGCAAATGCCATTTCCGGGATTCAAATTTTAAAATTTTCCGTGCCTTCGGCACGAGCCGCCCCCAATATTTCATAAAGTGTCCGCCACTTGCACACACGGTGGCTTAAAAAGTCTTAAAACTGTTTCTTCTACCGATAAATAACGTTTTTTTATTGACTGGGATTTCAATAACTCGGACTGGGATTTCTAATAAAAATCCAACTGGGACTGGGATTTTGCCAAAATTTCAGGTGGGAAATGGGATTGGGACCCCCCCTTCAGGACCCTCTCTGTAGACGAGGAGAAGTGATGTGTACGGCTTTCAAATTCAAATGAAGTAAACAGCTGTGGTGAGCATGGCTGGATTTTGAGGAGGCGCGCACCTCCCCTAAGATCGTTTTGCACCTCCCCTGAAAAGTGATGCACCTCCCCTTGGGAAAGTTTCAATGTTGGACCAAATTTGACTTTTTTGTTGCTTAGAAAAAGTTTTTCTGTAAAATTGAAACAGTGATAGCCATTCATCTCTTTGTTAAGTACCCTTTTAATGCAATGTTTTGAAAGAAACTTTGTAGTAATTGTAATGAAGGGCAAAATTGGATGAGTTGTACAGTCATAAGGGACGGGTCATTATTTATGGTGGGGGTGGCACCGAAGAGAAATGTTTTTCCTGGCAAAAATTTTGCTGACCCAACCATTAAAAAGTCAAAAATTTGATTACCCAACCTCAGATATCAATTAAAAAATAAATACCCACCCCTGGCCAAAACCTTTACAAAAGGATACCATTCAGTTGTTACACATGTCCTTTACCAACTTCTGTGACACGAGTTTGATAACGGATTGTGCAATTTTCTGCAGTCTAAAGTGTCATGTTGTCTGCACATGTACTTTCTTTGGAGACACCATTTGTCTCCAAACAAATCGGAAAATCTGATCAAGAAAGTGACTCTGATTCATTCACATATTGTATTGACATATGACTGTTAACAACTTAAGAGGGCCTCTCAGTAAAATCCACCCACTGGTTTGGGGAGGGGAAAATAGATTTAGCTCATATTTTACATATGAACTAGACTTTGGTCAATATTAATCGAGCTTCTTTCAGAACGTTTCAACTTTCTGTTTTATAAGAGTTATAGCCATGTTAAAATTTGACCTTGCGAGAATATTTTCAGACCGGAAATGATGGGGAATTTTACAAGAATTCATCTGATTTTTTAAAAACGTTGTGATGCGTTTATCCCCTCCAGTTACTGTTCACATGCAAGATTAACACTAATACTCTCGTTTACATGGAGATTGAACAACATTATTTGCTTAATACGATTTTTTAATAGTTTTACGAAACTATGTTTTCAAGATGGCGACGAGAGGCTGAAAATTGCTCATATTTTACTTAAAATAGCTCAAAAGTGGCACCTATCTGAAGTTCAAAAGGCATGTAATTTGAAAGTATACCTACTAAAGTTAAGTAATCAGGAATAAAACTCGTCTGCAAGCAATTTTCTGAAAAGTTATAAATCTCCAAATTGTGTCTATTTTTAGCTGTTTGTTTACATTCGCGTGTTCGCTGATCAGCGACACTAGTAATTGAAGAGTTAAAATAAGCTGATTTATTACCCATGAGTAAACTTTTTTAGCTTGTTCAAAAGAATATATACAATTTTGTGAAAATATAATTACAATATATACAAGCGATCGTGTACAGAACATTCTTGAATTCGAATTGCTTTACATTATACTTAACTTACACTTGCACTAATTATACACTTTCAATATATATACCGTAGTACAGTTACAACGATTCTGCTGGTGTCTATGACCCTGATATATTTTAATGTTATTAAATAATATATTGGTAATATAATAAGAACTTCGTCAATACATTGACACAATACCATAATCTCCTGATTATGACCTTGACTGCCGCTCCCACGGGGGGAGGTGCATGTCTGAACGACCAATGTGAGTAGAAAACTTACATAACTGTCTCTTTGCGATGTTTAGGTCATGAAATAGTGCTACAGGTAATATCGGTTTAATGCACTTTGCAGAAACTCCCATGATTTTGATGTCGCTCAATATGATAATCAGAATCCAGTTTAGCCGAAGGGTTGCTATTTTTATGAAAATGCGTGTACTGAATCAAGTCTAGCTCGATTAGACAAATTTGGGTAACGTTTGTTTATACCCAATTCACAACTTTATGTAACACACATGCCTAGCCACTATGGGGTACTTCCTCAGGCAGAAGAATTTGCATCACAGATTACGTCATCAGTTATTTATAGTGTTGAGGTTAGGGTTAGGGAAGGGTTAGGGTAAGGGTTAGATTAAGGATTAGGCTTAGAGATATAGGATTGGGTTATATCTGACGCGACAAACAACACAACTAATCGATCACGTGATCAGTTCTCCTCTACCCGAGGAACTAGCCAGATTACAAAAGCATAAAATAGAACAAAGGTAATTGCCGATTAGTCAAAACCGTGTCACGTGCCGGTCCACAAAACCTCATGTTCGGCATCCGGTCCGCAATGAAACATCTATTGACCAGTTAATAATAAAATGGGTGCAATACGCATGTGTGTCAACCGCGCAGTTTCAAAGTTCATTTTTTAAACTTTTTATTTACGGCGTTCCATTTATCCAGTTTTGGTTTCAAATTAAGCTCACTCAAATAATCGACTGATGAATTATTCATACTTTAACACTTATATACTATCTATAAGATGCTCTAGTCCACAAAACACACTGTTTCCCTCGATCTCAGTAAATATAAAGTGATAATAAATAAGTTTAATGTTTAGTTACTTTTGTTCTATTCAGTCTATGCTTCTGTAAACTAGAATAATAGTAACTAGGCATGTGAGTTACTCCATAGCTGTCAATTGGGTAGCAACGATGTAAACAACGTTACCCAAATTTGTCTACTGGCTAAATGTCTGCATTACACTACCCAATTTGCGCAACTTTCTGTATTCCCCGGCTTTCTCCGACGTGCAAAATTCCCCAGGCCAGCAAAAGAACAGTTCTTTTCCATGACTCAAGCATGCACCAAGTAAAAATAGGAGCTGCTATAAAAAATAACTGGCAAGCTAGTGTTGCAGTTCAGCATGAGCTCCACCTTTGAATTTACTATATGAGTAAATTCTTAAACACGTCCGAAATTATCATTACGATAAAATTTGAATTTTGAATTTATCATAATAATAAATTCGCGGCACGAACCCCTAACCACTATAATCCCCTAACTCCTAACCAGTAATCCCTAACTCTTAACTTTTTTAACCCCCGTTAAAAAACTTTTTAAACTTTTTTGCTTTTTAAAACTCTTTTAAAACTTTTTTAAAAACTATATTTTTGAAAATCTCTGCCTCTTACTGCAGTATTTCTGTTATGTAGCGGTTAACAAATTATAGGGAAATACGACGACATAAGTTAAATTTCGAAACTTTTATGTGTTCATATGCAGTGAATCAAACGAAAAATGCATCCTTTGTTACAATTATTTAAAATATTACAAAAATAAAAAACAACTAAATTTTATCGCCATATTTCTCCATAATTTGGCAACCGCTACAATAATGCAAAAGTCAAAACAAAATAGTAAATGACAACAGACTACAAAAGCGGAAGTGGGAAGGTTGTAGTATTTTGACTGCAATTATGTAAAAAAATATGTTGCATCCATGCTGCAAGAATTAATGTCCGACCTTTCCGGCAAAATTTCCATTTATTAGATTACGAGACGAGTTGAATAAAAAAGTTAAAGAACCGAACACTTTTTATATACAGCCAGAGAGGCAGAGATACTGACAGCTTTGAAATTTGCTACAACCACAGAAAGTACTGCCCGATTATACCTTAAAAAGATATTTAACAGTTGTGAAATTATTCATGCGAATAAGCCAAGAATGGTTAAGGTTGTATTTTTAATGTTTTTATGTTGTGAATTACAACCTGGATAATAAACCAGCTTATTTAACTTTTTAATTCTTACTAGTGTCGTTGTCAGCGAACACGCGAATGTAAACAAACAGCTAAAAATAGACCCAATTTGGAGATTTATAACTTTTCAGAAAATTGCTTGCAGACGAGTTTTATTCCTGACAGTGGCGGCGCCAGGCTTCCAAATTTGGGGGGGCATTTGAGGGGCAAACTCAAATTTTGGGGGGGCAAGATAGAATTTTTAAAAAGGTCGCTCCCCCCAGGAAATTCGCCCCCTCAAAACGTGGCGATATTCCTAGGAATATTGCCCCCGGGGGCGAATATCCTAGGAATATCGCCTCCCAGGGGGTGGGGCGAATACCCTAGGAATATCGCCCCTTTTTAGGACATTCGCCCCCCATATATGCGATGTGGTTTATTCAAATAATTTCGTGATACTTTCATCTTATTATTGCCTTACACGTTTGAGAATTTAACTCTGCAAAACTAAAGCTTTTTTGTCTTTTTTTTTTAAACGTATTATTGAAGTATTGGCAAGTTTTACCATTCAGAGATTTACAAACTAATATTGAAACTGTAAAAAACAGTTTCATGTATACGCGCATTCACTAATGAGTAATGACAACTTATAAGCCATACATTTTCCGATAACGACAGAACGCTTGTGTAGCCTTTAGTCGCTCTTAGTGACTAATAATTTTTTTTGAGGGGGGGCAAAATGGGGGGGCAAAAAATAATTTTGGGGGGGCATTTGCCCCCCCTTGCCCCCCCCCTGGCGCCGCTACTGATTCCTGATTACTTAACTTTAGTAGGTATACTTTCAAATTACATGCCTTTTGAACTTCAGATAGGTGCCACTTTTGAGCTATTTTAAGTAAAATATGAGCAATTTTCAGCCTCTCGTCGCCATCTTGAAAACATAGTTTCGTAAAACTATAAAAAAAATCGTATTAAGCAAATAAAGTTGTTCAATCTCCATGTAAACGAGAGTATTAGTGTTAATCTTGCATGTGAACAGTAACTGGAGGGGATAAACGCATCACAAAGTTTTTAAAAAATCAGATGAATTCTTGTAAAATTCCCCTTCATTTCCGGTCTGAAAATATTCTCGCAAGGTCAAATTTTAACATGGCTATAACTCCTATAAAACAGTAAGTTGAAACGTTCTGAAAGAAGCTCGATTAATATTGACCAAAGTCTAGTTCATATGCCAAATATGAGCTAAATCTATTTTCCCTTCCCCAAACCAGTGGGTGGATTTTACTGAGAGGCCCTCTTAACATTGCTTTTCAGTCTCCAATATTTTAGCGAGTCATGCTTTGGAAATGACAATAATTTTTTATTACCCAACCCTTGAGTTATTTTGTTTTTTATTTACCCAACCTTTTACTTACTCAAAATTTAGTTTACCCAACCCTTTTCTCTTCGGTGCCACCTCCCTGCCATAAATAATGATCGGTCCCTAATTCATTAATACACTCAGATATATATGTATGTACACTACATGCATACGTCATGTCGTTGACTTTGGCTCGCTCTAAGCTCTAACTTTTCCATGGGGGTCGTGAGCTAGACCGCTGCACCTCCCCTAAATTTTTTTCCACCTCCTCCACTATTTCCACCAAAATCCGGTCTTGGTGGTGAGAAAGTTGGCGGATAAAAAGAATCCATTGTTAAGAGTTTTGTAGATGGAAATTTTGACTATGAATTTTTTATACGTTCATTTAATGGACCTAACCTAATAAACTGAACCAGAGGCATTTGCGAAAAATGCAACCATAGCCCCTCTGGCAGGAATCGAATTTGCGGCCCTGCGATTCCGGTGCAGCGCTCTGAGCTACAGAGTCCAGTTGTCGAGTTCTAACCACAAGTTCATGTATATACAGGGTGTATCAAAAAAAGCGCAACCTCGACTGAAATGTAAATTGCTAAACAAATAATAGACGAAAACGTTAAAGATTACATTCATTTTAAAGCGTAGCCATTCAGCTTTCTAACAGTGGGTTGTTTCTTAAATTTGACTCATTGGTTCGCGGGTAATAATACTTTACGTTATTGCGATTGGAGATTAAAAAAATTGAGATATGGAATAACAAATCGTTCTCATGAAAATAACTGATTTTTTCATTAAAACAAAAAATGTTGCATTTTATTAAATGGATTGTAACAATAAGTATAATTACGGCTTTTCTTCCACTATTTTTAACTCAGTTTGAAACTTCAAATGCGATATAATTTTGGCTTGGACCATCTAAGCTGACTGACATCAACTTGCTATAAATACTTTTAATTTGTTCTTACGTGGTTTTCCAGATGTAGTGACGACAACATTGAAGTTTAAAGAAGAAAATTCTAACATTTAAACCGACTAAACAATAACATAGTAAACTTGCATAATTAAACAGCAACTAAAAATGATAGGTTTTACTAAATCTTTTCCTGTGCAATTATTACTAGCATTGGAGACAAGGATAATAGTTTGTTTGAAAGAGAAAAGAACAGGCTTTGAAGTAAGCCTAAAAGCGTTTAACTAGAAATAGTATTTCGAAAGTTATTAAGCACAAAAGATGAATTGCGTTTATTTTGATACGCCCTGCATGTATACCAAGGTGATGACAAAGTTAGTTACACGAACTTGCGCTTAGAGCTCGATTCTATTTTAATCTTCGGGTGCTCTTCAAGATCCCTTGAGTAAAAGTGTACACCTACTTTTCAGAAACACTTTCCGATATTGCCACAGACCATTCCAGTAACTGTTCTTCGCTGACAATTTTAGCGTTGTTTATTTTGAAAGCTCTTATTGGGTCGATTAAATTTGTTATGTACGGTGACGGTGTGACAGGTGCCTTGAATGAGAACGATTTAAAATAAATATTAATTTGTAAATAGTCTTGCCTCGTGGCGTAGTTTTTGACAGAGGTTTGTCATATACACGTGAAAACGCACAAGTTGTTACAGGTCTGCATGCAAACAAGTTGTTATCAAATCTGTCTTCACAAGCTGTCGACAAGTTATGTTCGCACTGCTTGTTTCTGGTTGCTGTGACAGATTTGATAACAACTTGTTTCAAATTTAATGTTCCAGGGGGGTGAATGCCTTTCTTTAAGGCACTTGCTAAGAACATGGCCGCCAGCCATTTTGGTAAAAACTACCTTACGGTTCTCCCGCAGAAGTGAGACCTCTGTTTCTGTGGTTGTGTTCCTACCTCTCGGTTTGTTCTCCTGTAGAGTCTGGGGATATTCTTCGCTCCATCCAGACAGTTTGCGCTCAGTTTGCTAATGTTATCCACAAGAAGTGACGATAGGTGTGGTAGTTTCTCTTGGAGATCACTACAGCGTTTGTTTAATAATATATCTATGTAGAGAAGAGTGTAAACTGTTCGAATATGTCAAACGTGGTGGTCCAGTGTAGGTAGTATTCTACAATACGTTGTCGTGGTTTGTGTCTGAACTACCCGTTAAGATATCTTAAACGTGGTGGTCCAGTGTAGGTAGTATACTTACTATTAGTCGTTTGCTGCAAAGTAATTTTGTGTCGCTGAATAATACCTTTTAAATTGTCTTTTTCTTGTGATGTTATTTCTGGAGGTAGTTTTGGCAAGATTATATGTTTCCATAGGTCAGGAATCTGAAGAAAAAAAAAACACTTGTAGTAATGGCGAATAAGTTTTCGGAAGTGCACGAGCCTTCCACTTCTGTGAGCCGTAGGATTCGATTGTCTAGTGGTCTGATTATGATTTTACCTCAGTTGCATGGGAGAAGAGTCCTTCCAGTTTGACTGTACCAAACACCACAGGTTTTTTGTGGTACTCCAGTGCCGGGAATAATAGGTATTATTATATACACAAGGTCTGGATATGAGGTATTCTGCAATCTGATTGGTTCTCTACTAGCAGGATATTAGCTCATATCCTACTAGTAGAGAAAAACAAAATGGCGGCTCAAACTGAATTTCCGATTTTTGCGAACGAGAAAACGGCAAGTTGTTCGCTTTTTATAGCCTTTACAGGATTAAAAACACAATGAAAAAACTCGAACAAATTGTTTACAGGTTAGAAAATGAATTTTTAAAATTTAAAATGGTTAATAATATATATTTTTGAAGAAATAATCGGCCGAAAGAGCGAAGATAAAAACATAACAAAATAGAAAAATATTGAAAATATCCGAAAAGCAAAGTCTGTGAATTCAGACCTTGTGTATATAATAAAACAGTTATTCCACTCACTCTCGTCGAATATGAGCGATAGCCGATTCGGCGCTACGCGCCTCATCGGCTATCAGCTCATATTCGACTCGAGTTCGTAGAATAACTGTTAAATAGCTCTTACGTACCCACTTTTAGTACTTTGCGTACCCACCTTGTCTGGTTTTGTCGGAAATTCAGGAGGCTTTCCCCAACGCCGGAAAACGTGAATTTACGTCACTTCTCAGTATAGGGAGAACAGTTTCTGGAACTGATAGAGCTACCCAGTGTAATTGAAGTTATCTAATAATAAATATCAATGCCCAGCATAATGTCCGTATAATAATAGCCATAACAAAGAGAAATTTTCATAAATTTAATTATTTACAGAACTAACGTTTCGTCTTGCACTTAAGACATCTTCAAAGTAAAGAATGATGTAAAATTACAAAGTTATATATGCATGATTTGTAATGGCTATTATTATACGGACATTATGCTGGGCATTGATATTTATTAGATTACGATTCCCGCCTGGTTCATCCCTCGCAACTAATTGAAGTTAGTTTAGGTTTCCTCCTGTAGTAACACCGGATCAATAAGAGATGATCCTTTCTGCACCTCTAGGGAGACAGTTTCTAGAACTCATAGAGCTACCCAGTATAAATGAAGTTAGTTTATTTAAGGTTTCCTTCTGTAGTAACACCGGATCAATAAGAGATGATCCTTTCTGCACCTCTAGGGAGAACAATGTAGAACTGACAGAGCTACCCAGAAAATATGTAGTTTAGTTGAAGTTTTAGTGATGGCCCTGTCCTTATATTGGTATACCTGTTTCAGAATGTGAAAAACATCGGCAAAAATATGAACAAGCTGTGAGACGGTCACGTGACTACCATCATTTGAACCCAGTCCTGTAGTAGTTTCGGATTCTTGAGCTGACGTTGGCCCAGCACTGGAAGATTTACTACTGGCAAGAACAGGCTTCTGAAAGGTAGGCGTAACGTTATATGCTGAGTTTTCTAAATATCCTTATAGTCAAGTTGATTGAAAATCAATGGATATACCTCTTGTTGTAGTTTTAATTCTGAAAGCCATTTGGAAAGTCGCGCAATGAGCTAAGAAAATAAAGTCGTTATGTTATTTTCGTGTTTGTTTCGTAATTATTTTTGTTTGAACATGGTTAACATAAGGAATGACTGATGAGTCCTAGGGCGCTTTCCTTTAACATGGCCAAACCGGTCAGAACGTTCAAATTGTTGAATGAAACACAAAACATTTGGGCTTCGGATCTATCTGACTGGAAAATTTTGATAACATTAGAATGAGGTCCATTTTCGCTAGATATTTGAGAAACATAGACCAGATCTTTCCATTGATACAGAGAAAAGAATTCGGGTCTGACCGGTCAGACCAGTAAATGGAAAGCGCCCTACCCAGGGTTTGATCTGGTGATCTTGGGATTGCTAGCCAATCTCAACTGGCAGACCGATTGTAGTGTCCATTAGGGTGCGATAATTTTTTTCCCAATACGACCACCCCTCAGCAGTAAGGATTTTTGGCCGTATTATCTTCCGATACGGCCACCCCTATCGTGCCAAATTGTTGTAACAAGTCTTTGTAGCAAGTTGTCAACAAGCTGTTGACAACCTGTCAATAAACTGGGAACAAGCAGTGCGAACACATCCTGTTGACAAGTTGTTGAAACCGGTTTGTTACAACTTGTGCGTTTTTACGTGTGTACGCGGCAATAATCATTGGAGCACCAGTCCTGAGGTACAACTAAAAATCTTGAATTATCGCACCCTGTTTTATTCAAGTTCCGCGTGAGAGTCATGCTTCATAGTGCGTTTCGTTTGCGAAATTTTACATGATGTAAACCATAACCTGTAATAAAAGTTTCCAAAAGCGATGACATAGTGCTGAGATGAAAACATTTTCGTGCCAACATCTCTCCACACAATCCCAAAATTGTTGTGTAACGTTGACGTATAAAGGGGCATCACCTACAAAAAGATAACGCGTATATTCAGCCCTTGCAAGTGACGTCATACAAAATTGCGTATTTCTTAGTGTGGCGTAATCAGGGCCCTTATTCGGCTTATATACCAACACCCTGGGCATAATATACGGGCATACCTGCAATACAAAAGGCGCCCAAGTGGTACCAGTGTATTTTTAGTCGCCCAAGTGGTACCAGTGTATAAAATCTGGTCGACAAATTTAATATCAGGTCTCTCTAAATCAAACTATCAAAGGGTTATGAAGTATTCTCTTTGTATACAGATAACATAAAAAAACCCAGTTGTTTAATATGTTGGCAAATTATATGCACAAGCAGAATAAAATTCTTGATCAAAGAGATATTTTAGGGCTTTAGAATCACTTTATTATTTTAAGATTTTCTCAGTCGCCACGTGGGTTATTTTGGCAAAGATCTGGTTGCCAGATGGAAAATTTGGTCACAATACTATAGGCAATTCCAACTTTTAGTTTATGCGTGCAGGGGGTGATGGGAAGTAAGGTACCCTGTTGCTGATTATGTGGTAATCGTTCCATGTTTCGCGCACCAATATAGTAAACGTTATGTAATGGATATTATAGTGTACTGAAAAGTTAACTGGATACCTCCATATACATATATACACACCCTAACCCTATCCCTAACCTTAAACCTAACCCTAACCTAACCTAACTAACCTAACCCTAATACCTAACCCTAAATTATGTTGGTGCGCGAAACATGGAACGATAACCGATTATGTTGAAAAAATAAAAATGGCGGCCGTGTAAACACGGAGTTGATATCTTATATTTGTAAATATTGAAATATTTCGGTTGTTTCGGCAGTTTTTATTGAAATTTTTAAGCATGATCAGCAATATGATACTTTACTTCCCATCACCCCCTGCGCGCATAAATTAAAAGCTGGAATTGCCTACTGGCGCCTGCTCATTTCAACCCCTGCATGGTGGTCAGTGGACTTCTATATCAGAACGCATGCTCCTATAAGTATCAACCTTGGTTTGTAGAGGAAGCAGAGGACGTCAGGTTTGATGTCTGGTCTTGCATTATTTTCACTAATGAAGGGGCTTATACGAAAGCTTTCTCCAATAAACAATGTACTGTATATCACCTTCACTAATTGTACATGGTGTCAGCATTGAAGTTTCAAATTTTCCAGCAATTTCTTGAAATCTACAAAATGGGTATAGGCAGGATTATGGTCTCGTTGATGATTAGGCTGGATTAAAGGATTGGAGTAAGATTAGGGCGGGCCATTAAAAAGTGTGTGGGGGGGGGGAGGGAAAACAGAAAAAATCGATACAAGCATAATATTTCTGAAAAAGTGCACGCCAAGCGAACCGTAAAAATCCATGCATGGCAGAAACTTCCCCCCTCCCCTTCACTCCCCCCCCCCTTGAATTTTCTAATGGTCTGTTGCTATGGCAACAACTCCTGGATAAGGATCAAGGTCATGTTACCTTATTTGAAAATAAACTGGCAGACTCCATCTTGAAATAAACGAGTTGTATGACGGATGATTTCGAAGTTGTTTGATATTTTCTTGTGAGCGACAGTGTTTTTCAAACTCTTGCACAAAATGCATGGTTATCATATATTTCTAAACAAAACAACTATTTTTAGTTGATCCCCCGTCTCTTCGTTTTACTCACTCCCTCTTAAAACCCAATATTTTACTCTGACAAGTACCAAACTATAGAGACGATTTTACTCGTCAAAGAAAAATCTGCATGGATGGGACGTTCAAGCTTTTATAGAGATTTTGTTGGCATCTCACTCGAATTAATCATAGTTGAAGGATCTTATAGATGGAAATTATTGAGTGGAAATATATATACATTTATTAGACCTAACCAGGAACAGCTGCGAAAAATGCAACTACAGGTCCCTGGCAGGAATCGAACCTTCGGCCCTGCGATTCCGGTGCAGCGCTCTAACCAACTGAGCTACAGAGGCCAGTTGTCGAGCTCTAACCACAAGTTCATGTATATATCATAGATATCTTATATACACTAGATAGCGCATTTCTTGTAGTAAAATTGAAGCCAAGAATATTCCAGCGGTTACCCCCATTTGAATAGATGGCGGCCATATTGGAGTTTCCCACTCACTGATAAACGCTTAAAAGTGAGTTAAAAAACAACAATAACTTTCATCATTTGAATAGTTTAAAAATGTATTTGGAATAGGTTTAACTTAATGTTTAAGTTCCCTGTTTAAGAAATAGAAAACATACGAGTCTTCTCATTTCATGGAAATATCCTGAGTCTGCAATCACGGCTTCAATTTTTGAAATGTAGAATAATTAGATGCACTATCTAGTGTATATAAGATATCTATGATATATATGGGGTACTGCCATGTTTTAGGTTATGCGTAAATATTGAGATTTTGTTGGCATCTCACTCGATTCAATAATAGTTGAAGAGTCTTGTAGATGTAAATTATCGAGTGGGAATTTATATACATTCGTTAAGCCCTGCATGGGCAAACTATAGGAAATATTGTTGTGGAAACATTGTTTCCTACCAATGTTTCGCCATGTTTTCAACAGTGGGCAAACACTAGGAAACATTAGTGAGAAACATAGGGAAACATCAAATGTTTCTGAATTCGCTAGGAAACATTTTTGCTTCTTGGGAAGCAAATGTTGTTTCCGCAACAATGTTTCCACGGGTGGGCAAACTGGGAAACATTTGAGGAAACATCCGAGAATCACAATTGTTTCCACAACAATGCTTCCTAGTTTGCCCAGGGCTTTAGCCGTTTTAACTGTAATGATGCAAGCGTATAAGCCTAGATATGCAAAGAATGCAAATTAATTAAGGATCGAACCGTTAGCAACGACGAGAATTCAAAAGAAACTTCTTTTTTCTCATCCTTTGTATACTGTATACCCTCAAGGGGAAAGTCATTCAAGCTCTCTTTTCTGTTATGTGGCTTTGCTTGCGTGCTCGATTCAATTGTGTTTACAATTAAGGCATTCAAATTCCAACAAAGGCTTGATTCCAAAAGGTATATTTGTCTCGGGACACCCTGTACAGGGTGTATAAAAAAAACGCAACCTCGGAATTTCCCAAGAAATCGACATTGTTTTAAGGACAAAAGATTTTAGGTGCCTGGGAATTTAAAATAGCACAACCGTCAAAATTACTGCACACGCGAGTGCATAAAGCAAAATTTATGCATTTATTTAATAGTAAAACAACAGTAATATGATCTATTAGCAATTCGATTTTAATTCCCAGGGGCCTAAAATCTTTTATGCTTAAGAATTGCTTAGGAAATTCCGAGGTTGCGTTTTTTTTATACACCCTGTATAATTTGTGAGCGAGTGACTGATTTACATATACTATCTTGGCTCGCATGAAAGAAAGGTTACAACGTTGAAGATAGATATGAAAATATCTTTTTTTGTCCAGCTTTCAACGAACTTTTGGATAATAAGGAAGAATATTGCCTCATAACATTACTTCCATGAACTAAAGGCTGAATAGCAACAAATAAACTGGTAAATGTTCGACAATTAAACGCTTTTGCTAACCCCTAATCAAATGCGTACAATGTCATGTCGTTTGAACATGGGCGACTTTTCGCAAGGCAATAATCTCTTATCGACATGCACGCTAACTGTATAGAAATTGTAAAGTCGCTCGTATATGAGACTCATAATTTTGTTCTTCCAACTTTTAGGAACGAACAACTTGTAAACTACAGGATTTTCAGTCGAAGACGGCTCAAACCACTCGGATATTTCCAGGTTAGTAACCCACCAAAAATCAAAATGCTTTATTTTTCCATGAGCAATTTAAAATTGCCGTTTGCAATACACTGGGCTAAAACAGCAGTATAAGTCGATATCGGCAACCAGGGAATCTGAACTACCTGTGAAATGAATATATTTCGACGTTTTGAGTGAAGAAACTTTGTCAGGAAGTAAGCAGTCGCTACGTATCTAGCGGGCCGTGCTCAAATTTCCCTGTGACTAGTTTTTACAGATAACATGATCATAGCTCTGTATCCGAAATTGCATTGCAAGTGGCAGCAAAACTTGCATTTACCTCCGGAGTGACCAAGGACTTCATTTGAAACATTGAAGTTTACAGCTAATTCAATTAAGGTTGTCCTTCCAAAAACGTAAACCTTGAACTCTGAGCGCGCAAAGGATGATGGGTTATTGCTTATTTAAACTCATAAACTTTGAAATTTGGCTTTTCAAGAATGGTATGGGAGACTCACAACAGAAAATATATTTGCTGCAAAGGCAATTCTCTGAGTTTAACACTTTAAGCGCCTAATAGGTGAACACCCTCTATCCCTAGCGCGCTCACAGTTTAAGGTTTTGGAAGGACAACCTTAATTGAATCAGCTGTATACTTTCAATCATCGTACAGAAGATAGAGGGATTAAGCGAATCGACTTTTGAACAACCAGTCCTGGTAGTTTATGTAAAATACCACGTACACTTCACCCAGTAATAGTACTATTATTAATAATAATAATTATTATTATTACTATATTATAGTATTATATTTTCACCCAGTAATTGCAGAGCAGTAATTGTATACCACGTAATTTTATACACTCCAGTAATAGTATTGAGCTCAGAGACAAAAGGAAACCACGCACCTTGTGAAATGCATCCGGGTCCCCAGGAGCAAATATCGACGTCAAATTATTCTGAATTGCGGACGCGATTTCCGGCCAAACTGAATTCACGATGAAATTGTATCCCTTGATGCTCTGCGTAATGTCTCCGCTCAACCCGTCGTGGGGGTCCAAGGTTTTCCCGGACGTGACGTCGATCAGTTTGCTACAGTAGTTTGGGACAAAATCTAAGACATTCTCGTATAGTCCTTGAAGACCTTTGCTATTTGATTGTAGAGCTTGTTCTGTTATAATCTAGAAATAAATTTCAAATCCTTTGTTTACATTTTGAACTGCTATATTTGTAAAATAAGTGAATATCTAACACTTTCCTGGTTCGCTATTCAAATGAATATAAACTAGAGTACGTTTCAATTCAAAAAAGTTCGAAAGATGCAAAATTTGGGCAATGTTTATATCTGAGGGTCCCCCTTTGTTATGAGCAGAACTGATGCGCAGAAAGGACTTGACATGATCTTTAAGGGTTTAAATTTATTTTGACCAATAGAAAAAAATTGCTTATAATGAAAGAACTAGGCCCGGTTGCTCAAAGCTGGATTAGCGTTAATCCTCGGCTAAAATTTAACCCGCTGTTTTAGTTTATGTAATTCATTTCTGCACGTCTGTTTATTTTAAAACTTCAGAGAAGAAAACTCCTACTGATCCAGACAAAATTTCCAAATTTGTCAACAAGCTGTTGGGAAGGTTGCTTTGGATATTAGGTTAACCTAGGGTTAGCTTATCGAAAGTCTATATCAGCTTAATCCTTGGTTAACCAAAGCAAACAGCCTATAAATTTGGAAATATTTATTCAGCAATCCTGTCTGCATCAGTAGGAGTTTTCTTCTCCGACCTTCTGAAATAAACAGACGTGCAGAAATACACAACCCAATAACAGCAGGTTAAATTTTAACCGAGGGTTAGCGCTAACCCACCTTCGAACGTACTGGCCCCTGGAGTTTAAGGGGCTGTTTACATGAGCCCTAGAGGGCGGGCTGGCCCTACTAGGCGAGACCCCGCTTGCTATTCTAAATCCTTATTAAAAATTGTTTACGTTTACATGAGAAGAGGGCCAGCCCTCCTAGGCGAGATCTCACTATTATTCACCCGAGATCTCGCCTAGTAGGGCTGGAATTTTCTCATATAAACGCAGTAGAGAGGGCTGGCCCTCCTAGTAGGGCTGAGTGAAAAAGCCGTCGAATGGATTTTAGACTAAACTCTTTGAAGCTTTTTTTGTTTTAAGGATGTAGTTCTAAACGGATATTCAAATGTCTGTTGGCTTTTATTCCAAAATTTAGTCGGCAAACTATGATTTTGGACGCCAAAATAAAAATGAGTCGCACGGAAGCCATTTAAGTGCTACTTGCGAAAGGAAGCTATCCCTACCAGTAGGGCTGATTTTTCTCGTGTAAACAAGCGGTGAAAATTAGCCCTACTGCTAGGGCCTGCCCTCCCGGTAGGGCTCATGTAAACAGCCCCTAAGTTGTCCTCCAGATGCAATATATGAGCTCATTTTCAGGTCAACTGCTAGTGGTCTAGACTATTTAGATCAGTTCTAAAAAGTATTCCAGTAATGACATCCCTTCGTTGGCCCAATGTTACCACAGGACAATGGTGCATTTATAAATGAACAAATTGGTTAAAACAACAACAAAGTAGTTCTCTCAGATTTACAACTAATTTGTTGGTTGTTTAACCAAATTGTTGTGTATAACCAAATCACGGTCAAAGGTTTTAAAAAACACTTAGTTGTCACGATTCAGTGATTAGAATATACCATTATCTTTTCATTGTTTTGAAAACCCACTGTTCTCCAAGCATCTAGTTACTCATTGTTTTGCATAGGGCGTAATTAGGCTTTGCACACAAACAGTTTACAAAACTTTTATCCACTTTGATATTCGCAACTATGAATGGGCTTATAAAGAGGTGTTCAATGCTTGTTTATACATCGCGGTAGCATAACTGCAAGTGTATACCTTCATGTATGGTTTAACAGCGAAAGTTCTGAACAAATTTTCGGCGTAAGAAATTTTATCAATGATTGCATAAGTCCGTAGACATTGCGTAAGTGTTTTGGTGTCTCCAAGTTTGAGTCCTTCTTGAAACGACGTCTCTAGATTCTTCTGTAGAGTACTGGTGATGCCTGATATACGCTAAAATAACAGTCACATATATTTTAGAGCAATCACATAGAAATAAGAATGTGTTTTGCTTCACATAATATACAATACATAATTGTAGTACAAATTTTTTTCATACAAAATATACAATACATAATTGTAGTACAAATTTTTTTCTTCAGAGCAGTCATATGGTTATTTATTTCTTAGAAACTAAATAACTAATTCAGTGGCGGAAACTAAGGGGCAAATTTTATAGGTTACCAACATGTGACCACTTTGTTGCTGCAAATTTCAGTTCTTTAAACTTTGTTGCTTTAAATCCATGCATTATTTTGTTTAATGTATAGCTTACCAATGCTTTGGTGGTTGAAAAATGATCGTTAACACAGTCAAATGTTTAATTTTAATGATTTTGCCTTGTGAAACTCATGAAACCAAACACATGAAACCAGTTTGAATTCGAAATTAGAGGAAAATGTGCATACCGGTAGTTAACCCACTGAGACCGCCATTAACCTACCGATCTTATTTTTTCCACCAAAGGATGACCCTGACATTGTGTGACGTAAAACTGAAGTTGATTAAAGTCGCTGGCCACTCTCTCAATCAAGTGTCCTGCCTGGTCTGAACTGATCATTTGTTAGACAAAAAGGTAAGAAATAATGCAAAAAATAAAAAATAATAAACTGTAAAAAAGCATGCAAGACATGTGTTATATTTACTGTAGGACACTTTTGTTGTTGTAAGGATCTGATCACAGAATAGAGACCTTACAGAAGGCTGACTTCTTAGTTTTTCCTATAATTTTGGTGTAATCGTTGCAATGATGTCACCATGTTCCTAGGCAGTACACTTAAATATGAAAATATTCAAAATGGTGGATGTTCAAGGGGGTGAAGGCTTCTTGTAACCACACTGGCTAGGAACATGGTGACAGCATTTTGATGAGGAATCATTGCGAAGCATGGTGTGGTGGCGGAAAGCATAATATATATATATATATATATATATATATATATATATATATATATATATATATATATATATATATATATATAAATGCAGTATAACATGGACGACATATGTGTCAAGACAATACAATCTCTCCAGAAAACTTTAACTTTGAAAAGTAATTCTTGCCATTGTATACCTGTCCTTCTCAACCTCATTTTCACCATTTCCAGCTGATTTCAAAACTCGCTCAATTTTTTCCATACAGTGAGTGATGTTAAGTAAATTTTGAGTAAAAACCTGGAATTGTTAATATCATGTAAAACACATTATAACACTCTATAATAGTAAAATAATTACAAGATTAATTTCTGGTTAATACCCCACCTTTTTCTCACGCAAATCTGCTCGCTGTTTTAATTTTGTCTCGACTGACTTTATTGTCGAATCAAGATCATTTTGAATGGACTAGAGTAAAAAGTAAGATATTGCTAAGTAAGATATTGCTAAGTAAGATATTGCTAAGTTGTAGAAAATAAACAAAAATTAGTTCATAAAATGTTCATAAAATTAGCACAAATTTTTTCCAAATGCTCACAAGAATCTCCTCTCGCAGTTGCCCCAATGGAACGGTAAGGTTGTTGATGGCTTTGTCCATTCCAACCTTGAGAAAAAAGAAATTTTTGAAGTTGCAGCCAATTATATGTAACATTATAAACAAATTTACATAAACTGTAAATTTGTATTCTTCAGGTTATATGCTGCGGTGAACAATGAACCTAGGCACAAACTTAGCTTTGTTTAATAATTGAGTTAGCTAGATGCTAACAATTTTGTAACTGCACACAATAGACAGACTGCAGAGTTGGGCAGTTTTTGAAAAGATCTCGGGATGCAATATCTAAAAATCTAGAGGCATGGGCACAAAACAATTTCCAAATCTGGGGCAGATTTGAGTTTGAAAATTGTTTATATCAAGCACTTCCCAGGGGCGCTAAAACTTTTCCCTACAAAATATCTCGGGGGGGGGGGGCAACTATGACCAACTTTGCAGTCTGGCACCATAGATTTCCAGCATGGAGTACAGTACATGGATGCAGTTCAGGGGGGGGGAGTACACAGATGTAGTTCAGGATGGCAGTATCTGAAATACCCGAAACATCTTGGTTACTATCTGCATTTCCAACAGCAAATTTTACACATACTCGAACAAATGACCTTGTGTCAGAATATGTACTGTACACTTTATACTAAGAAGTTAAGAACTTAGAACCATATTTTATTAACAAGTCAAACTCACTAGATTGGTGGATAAGTTAACAAAATCAGCATAGTCCTGGTTAATGAGCTCGATGAGTGCATTCTTTAGCAACCTCAAATACTCATCCAGCTCTTTTTTAAACACGTTTAAAGGAACGATCTTTTTGCATTCTGCAACGAACTTGTCGACTTGAAAATCGTCCAACATAAAATCATTTCTACTGAAGCAAGAAGACTGAGGCTCTACCAATATCTCCTTGTCGCTTTCACCCATTATTAGACTGCAACAGATTGCGGTTTATTTTTAAAGATCTTTGTAAATTAAATGGAAAAACAACAAAAGATGCAAAAGTGTCGACGTGTTTTGGTCGCCATATTGGAAATTATCATTCTTCGGAAATTGCCGGTGGCTTACGGAAAAGTTCGATAATCTTCGGAAACATTCGTAGTTTGCCGTGATTTTCCGATCGTACGCACAGCGAAAGAAAGAACCGGCATTTTCAAATTTTCAATATTGAAAGTTGGAATTTTTTTAACTTTTTTGCCAATACTTTATGTTTTTTCGATGGAAACCAAAGTAGAATTCACCGAAAAGCTCGACAGATTAACCTGTGCGACATTGTTGATAGAAACCGTTAAGTATTTGCTTTTTCATCGATATCAAATGCCTTTGCCATTCGACCAACTCAAAGCCGAAGATGAGCGCGACAGGAAGTTGGAATATGCAAGAAGATCGCCCAGAAATCGTCCCCTTCCTTCAGTGTTGAAGAAAAAACGGCAACTTATTGCCGACATGGAAGAGTTAGTGCTCAATTTATACCAACGCTGTTTACAAGTTGAGATTTTTGAAGTGCTTTTGTTGTTTGGGGCAACGGTTGTCAACCCCAAAGAAATGTACTCAATACGATTTTGTAATATTGGCGAGACAAGCGAGGCAGATCGAGTAAAGGCAGAGTGTGCATCAGGCAAGGAGAATGGCTTAAATTCACGCTCAAAATTTGTCGATAAGTGCTGTCGGAAGTTGGCAAGGACGTTGTTTACCGATCCATCTTTAAACGAGCGAGGAGAATTAGGTTGTACTTCAATTCATTGTTTCATTTTGGCTTCGAGAAATTTGGATACGACTTGGTTTCGACCCAAATTTTCTTTTAAAGTGCCAAAAAAAGGAAAATCTTGTGAAATAAGGATATATAGTGACAGTGATGGTCACATGGGTATATTAAATGGTAATGATGGTGAAATAAGGACATTGCAGGGTAATGATGGTCACATGAGGACATCGGATGGCAATGTTGGGATACTTGAGGGTACTGATGGTGAACAGGATACACTCTGGTTTCAAGCACCAGTTGTCATCAAAGGATACAAAGAGACATACAAGGAAACTGTGGAGTCTAGCATGTGGAAAAAATGAGAGAGTATTAACTGCGACTCAATGCTAGTAGATAGTGCTCAACTTCAGGGGTCGGTTGTTTAATTAGCACTAACCTTTGGTTAAAATTTGACCCACTGTTTTAGCTTATGTATTTCTGCACTTCTGATTATTTCAGAGAAGTAAACTCCTATTGCTAAGCTGCCTGGAAGTTTGCTTTGAATTTTAGGTTAACCTAGGGTTAAGCTGATTGGCTTTTGAACAACCGGCACCAGAATTTTAAGACTACCACAAATAATGACATTATTTCATACTAATAACTGCAGGTTAACCACCATCTGCTGGTGAAACCCATAATTTGATCAGGGTTTTTTTCTGCAAAACAAGTTTCCAATTGTGTCAGGACTACCTGATAAAAGTTTGGAAATAATTTGGTGTTAAGCAAAGGCCCTCTGACCTTCATCAGGATGTGAGTAGCCAAGTAACCTGACAAAGGAATACTGCTCAAAATGTCAAATTGTTTTGAACTTTCACAGCCGTTTATAAATTACGTAAAAAATAAATATGAGCGAGAATAGGGCAGAAGATACGAGAACCTCTGGCAACCAGGGTACCTACACTGGAACTCCACTTTTGAAACCTAACAATTCTACCTTTTAGAAATTAGAAGCAGTAACCTCTACAAGCCTAAATTGCTTGATACTTCAAAGTGTTTTTAATCTTCAGGGGCCAGTTCAAAGCTGGGTTAGTTTAACCCTCGGTTAACTTAAAATTCGAAGCAAACTTCCTGACAGTTTGTCTATAAATTTGGAAATATTTCTTCAGAGATCTTGTCTGGATCGATACGAGTTTACTTCTCTGAAGTTTTGAAATAAACAGACGTGCAGAAATACACAAACTAAAACAGCAGGTTAAATTTTAACTCAGGGTTAGCACTAACCCACCTTTGAACAACCAGCCCCAGGTTGTTTAGACACAAACCAATATACTGCAGCAGTTTATTCCGGCAATTTTTAACTCACAGAATAATAACAAAACAGCTTTAATTAAAACAAAGTTTATTTTTTTACATACCAAACTATTCACACTTTATATACAAAAATAATTTTGTGACAATAATTTAGGAAAATAATTACAAAAAATATTTTAGCACAAAATTATGTAAGTCGCTAGTAATTAAATTATTATAATTATTATTATTTTAGTTACAACTATTTGTATTTTTATAAATCAAAAATATCACATTAAACTGTCATCTTCTGTGGTGAACCGCATGTGGAAAACGACTGATTAAGTTATCCTGAAAGATAAATTGAGTTTCAACTTAGCCTGCAGACGGTCAGCCCGTCACAAAACACCTAAAAGCAGGCGAGGCAAAGGTGGACTTACCAGATTTTTTGAAAGTTCGTTACTCATCGTCGCTATGGGTTTATTAGCCTGAGAAATTTAAATAAACAATAATTATTCCAAAGATTCCTCAAGGCTCAAATCTTTGCAATCACATACTCACAGCGTAGGCAGTTCCTGTGATTGGGTTAGTCAACCAAGACGAACTGTTCACAGCAGGTGTTCTTAACCGTTCTGGTTCATCAATCTGAAAATACATTCAACAATGGGTGATTGACCAGCTGCTGTAGACTAAATTTTGATCAAGGCAAGAAGGACGCATTTTGAGTTTGGTTGCGAATCTTGATCAAGGCAAGAAATCCAACACCGCAGCTAGAAAGAGCGTGTTAGAATGAGTAAAACTGCAAAGATTGGTTGCTACACGTTGTAAAATGAAGAAAATATATCCCTTTGAAGTTCGCAAATTTTGTATATATTTGTATTACGCGCGGTAAAAATAACCACTTGGCTCAAAAATGGTTATTTTTCCCGCGCGTAATGCAAATATATACAAAATTTGCGAACTTCACAGGACTATATTTTCCTCATTGTACAACAATTCATAACCAAACTTTGCAATTTTGCTCATTTTAAAATGTTCTTTCCAAGATCTAAATTTCGTGTATAGCTGCATGGGCGTACGCGGCGCAGTTTGTTGGGCAGTCGGGCAATATTCACTCAACAGTCGGGCAATTTTGGTTTATTATAAAAATAAATGGGACAAATTCTGTCAATTTTGTGGTCAATTTTGTGATGTTTCGAAAATTTGTGTGATGTTCCGAAAAATTTTGGTATGTCAGAAAAATTTTTTGACCCCTAAAATGGTACGCTGACCGAACTTTTTTTGGCATTCTTTCCGCCCCCCTAATTTTTTCCTTCCGGTACGCCCATGTATAGCTGGAATCACCCTTTACTAATACTTGTACGCATACTGAAACAGTAGTTTATAGCAAGAACTAGCCTGCGTGGCAGGCTGGGAGAAATAGAACAAGAACTAACCTTGTAAACGGGCAAAGATCGAAACACGGCTGCAGGATCGTTCACACCTGACTGACTGCTGTCCAAATGAAAATTGTAATGCTAGATAATGTAGATAATGGGAAATTTATTTCGACAATGAGCGGAATGAAAATAACTGGTCAAACTATCCCGTCTTGCCCAAAAATGATTGCACATAGAATGCTTTTTGGGGTGTTTCATAATTGGGGGTGTTTCATAAATTTTTGTTCCTACTCACCCTAGGTTTTGTAAGAGAGTGAAAGAATTTCTTATTATCTTGAGTGCTTCTTGTCTCATCTCTCGCGGAATATCTGAACGGTCTCCACCTAAGTAGATCAAAGAAGATCATGACCCATATAGATTTCAACATAACTCTTCACCATAAGTCAATCTCGCCATTACCTTTCGTCATCGAACGTCAACGGACAATCAACAGTTTGATTCGTCTTGGGTTTGTTATTATTAACCAACTTTGCTTGACGTGGCATTTTCTTTGGAGCCTACAAGAAGGATAGTAACTTCCAATGCTATGTTACAAGAGGTTTTGATGGCTACAATAGAACCTTAATGCACCTATCGTGCCCCTCAGTGACCGTGGCTCAATTGTTTGATTGAAATTTTGCCTCGATCACATGCACGTGAAAGATTTTCTAGTTGTAGACTCCACCAAGCATCGAAGGATCTCTCAGGATCCTCCTGTTTTCTCCTGCAGTAACACTTTCCAATAATTGACCAGCAAGAAAGTTTGCACGCGAGAGTTTGCATGAGAGTTTTCTCAACTATCATGCCCCGGTCAATCGAAAATAAGAGTTGCACGATGAGATTTGACTGGTATTACCACGAGTGCCTGGCGAAAGCTATCATCAAAATTTGAACCAGCTCAAAGTTGATGAGATTTGACTGGTATTACCACGAGTGCCTGGCGAAAACTATCATCAAAATTTGAACCAGCTCAAAGTTGATGAGAGTCGATGAGAGTTGGCGGTCAAACACGAGCGAGAGTATTCATCATCGTCGTTTGACCGTAGCTTTAAGAAATGCTACAAATCAAGCAGTTTAGTCTTCACCTCTGCAATATCATAAGGTCGTAATGGAGTAGAAGGAATAGAAGTCGCATTTGGAATATGCCAAAGTCTTGGTTGACCAAAAAACCCGATAAAATGTCCCGTATGTTGATGCCATATCCTGTAAATTGGAAAAGAAAGTCTTTAATGCACCTCTACATAACACTTAGCATGACAATAATACCAGCCAGTCACTCGTTAGTTCGACATGTCTGTGATATTGTGCAAAATGGGTCTATTATAAACAGTAATTATACAGATGGCCAATTAACTTTTCCTTAACAAGTTTTATTTGCTCGTGTGGACGGCAAAAAATTGACAAATTTTCCTTGCCAAAGAGCCTTGTTCCAACGCTAGTCATGCCAACGTTTGGACACAGAGTAGAGACATACAGAGACGTAACTGACCGTTGTCCCACTTTTTTTTCAGGCGACCGGGCGAAAAATGATCAACTGCGCGTGTTCAGCCAGTTTAAATTGAGTCGTCATCCAATCAGATGCATGCATCTAGTAACTTGCCGAGCATGCGCACAAAAAACGTGGGTACACTAGTTACGTCTCTGTATGTCTCTACTCTGTGGTTTGGACAAGGAAAATTTGTTCGTATGTACGGCCGTCAAGGAAAACTTGACAACAAGTGTACAAGAAATACTTCTAGGACTATGGTTTGGCAAACAGAGCGGACAAGGAAAATGTGTTCGTGTGTACGACCGACAAGGAAAACTTGACAAGTGTGCAAGAAATGCAACATGTACAACAAAACTTGTCAAGGAAAACTTGTTGACCGAACAAACGCGGAAAGTAAACTTGTCCTGTATGGGGCTTTATAGTTGGTCCAGTCATCTTGTGAGATCAGTGGTGGTATATTATTACCTGACAGATGAATCGACAGAGGCGGTTATTAGAACATCGCTATCTTTGACTTGTTCAATCGCTACAATTTTATTCAAATGTGCTCGCCAGTAAATTACTTGATCGACACTTCTCTGCAAGATAATAAATCGATTTCAAACTCAAAGTTATCACGGCCAATTGAACTTTCTCATTGGTCCCCCGAACACAAGCATACGACATACTAAATTATCGTTCGTCTCCACATCCTTGCTACCAGATAAATTTTCAAGGAAATTTTCAATATCCCATGTCATAACATAGCCTCCTAGGATGGAAATAAATTCAATAAATTTCAACTAAATGAATACAATTTTCTAGTATCAGGCAACAAAAAATAAATGCAGGGAGTATTAGGGAGTATTAGCACAGAATACTACACAGAAGACCATCTCCATTGTTTTTTGCGTAAGCGTTATTCGTCATGATTCGTCACTCAGCAAGTACCGTAAACAGAAGCAGTCCCCCCCTGGACGTGCGCCATTTTGAGTATTTCCAGGAGGGGACTGCTTCTGTTTACGGTACTTGCTGAGTGACGAATCATGACGAATAACGCTTACGCAAAAAACAATGGAGATGGACTTCTGTGTAGTATTCTGTGGTATTAGGGAGCATTGCGACTGAATATTGATGTTAACAAAAGTCAGATAGCTTGCATGCCATCATTGCTCAATACTTTTCTTTGAAGAATAAAGTTATCTGGGGCGAGATAGAGTAAGATAACGAAGCATTGTACGGTTTGAGTTCATTGAGTTTCTAACTCAATATATAAACAAACAATATATATATATATATATATATATATATATATATATATATATATATATATATATATATATATATATATATATATATATATATATATATATATATATATGCAGGGTGTATCAAAAAAAGTAAGACAATTTTGAAATTGCTCTCAATTCCACAATTCTGTTCATGAAATGTAATTTTTGCTATATATGGATTGCTTGAGTTCTTAAATTGTGGAAAATATAAAAAATTTTGAAAATAGTAAATTTTGCTATCCAGGGGGGTGGTCAACTTTTGCTCCCCTAAAAGTGGCTTGGGCACGGAAATGACAAACGGTATTCTTTATTTGAGTTCATGTATGAAAAGTTCGCTATTTGTTGCATTTATGATAAAATTTCGGCAGGATTTTACCGAGTACAAATCCACCGAAAAGCCTATGAAAACGTTACATTTTTCTCCGTTGGTGCTGTTCTTGCTGCATTATGAATTCATTTTTACTCCCATGAGAGTTCCATGGAATTTCCATGGAATTTGTGCTTTCGAGTTGTTTGTGCTGAAACGCATTTTCTTGTATAATACCCCCTACACTTTGAAATGGCGATGTCACAATTTACCCCGCAGCAGAGAGCTTTTATGGTATCAGAGTTTCTCCGTAGCAACAACATAAACTTGGTTCGCCAAAGTTTCAAGAATATCCAGATGTACGATGCCGTTCACGTGCGAATACGTGAAGGGCATCGTACACAAGTCTGGATATTCGTTCGTGAAACTTTGGCGAACCAAGTTTATGTTGTTGCTACAGAGGAACTCTGATACCATGCATAAAAGCTCTCTGCTGCGGGGTAAATTGTGGCATCGCCATTTCAAAG